TCAAAAAGCGGACGGTCTGTACCTCTGAGTTTAAATGGCCGACTCCATGGAAGGAAACAAAAAAGCACTCTGCAGCCCTTTGGAGCACTGAAAGGACTACCCATTTCTTAGTTCAGTAAAGCAAGTGACGCCACGCTAGTACATAACCCAAACTTTCCAGCCATGCTGCTGCTCTGTACTCTATTTCGTCAGGGTGGGAAGGAGAAGAGACTTTGGGATCCAAGGATTTGCAAAAAAAAAAAAAGATGGTTAGATGCAAAAAGTGGGGGTGGCTACCAGTGCTCCCTGTACGCTGTGAAGTCTTGTGAGCAAAAATTCTATTTTGTGAGCTGCTGGCATTACAGTTGTGAGTGAGCAATTTGGCTACTGCATAAATCAGTTTGCTCTGGAGCCATTCTTCCTGAGCTAAGACAAAAATGTGTGAACCTGAGGCTTAAAAACTCTGAGCTAGCTCTCACTAACTCAGCTTAGAGGGAACACTAGTGGCTACATGGGTGAGCCCCCAACTTCAAGTGCTACAGAGCCAGCAGTTGTGTTATCTGCATTTGTGTATTCCCCAACCTCCAACCTTTTGACTTTTTAGGAACCATGAATGTAGTGGATGAAGAGAGGATGGATATTTTATTCCCTGTCTTTTTTCTTCCATCCAAGCTCAGGTGTGAGTTTGTTACCCTTTTGAGATTTTAAACAACAAAAATGTATTTTTAACACACTGACCTGCCTCTGCTTTGCTTTCTCTTAGCCTACATACCTGGGCCAACCCGAGTTGTTCTGTAAGAAAGAGAAGGTGCAAAACCACAGGGTGCCTTTGTCAGAAAGCGGAAGGTCTGTACCTCTGAGTTTAAATGGCTGACTCCATGGAAGGAAACAAAAAAGCACTCTGCAGCCCTTTGGAGCACTGAAAGGACTTCCCATTTCTTAGTAGTTCAGTAAAGCAAGTGACGCCACGCTGTATGTTGCGTATCTTTTTAGCCCACTTGTTAAGCAAGCTTGGCTGCTGGCGTGGCATGCGGGAAATGACCATTATGGCTACAAATGCTTCCTCAAGAAGGGATTCTCAGCTGAAGCCAGGCATGACAGCGGGGTGCCCTGCCACTTTCTGCCCTCCTTTTGATGCACACATGCCCCCCCCACACACACACACCAATGACAAATGGAAGCTGGTGCTGAATTTGGCCATGGAGGTGGGGGCCTGGCTGATTTCTGCTCTCCCTCTGAAACGAGTAGCTGTAAGGAAGCCATCTCCTGCCAACCTAGCAGTTCGAAAGCAAGAAATTGCAAGTAGATAAATAGGTACCACTTTGGTGGGAAGGTAACAGCGTTCCGTGCGCCTTGGTGTTTAGTCATGCCGGCCACATGACCACGGAAACGTCTTCGGACAGCGCTGGCTCTTCGGCTTTGAAACGGAGATGAGCACCGCAACCCTAGAGTCGGATTTGACTGGCTTTCGAGCAAGGGAACCTTTACCTTTTTTAAGGAAGCCATGTGCAAGGCTGCCTCTTGAGTTTAACTGGGGTCTTGGTGGTGGTGGAGAATGCTGTCAAATCACAGCTGACCTACAGCAACTCTGGGGTTTTCAAGGCAAGAGACGTCCTGGGGTGGGTTGTCATTTCCTCCCTCTGCATCATGACCCTGGTATTCCTTGGAGGTCTCCCATCCAAATACTAGCCAGGGCTGACCCTGCTTAGCTTCCGAGATCGGGCTAGCCTGGGCCATTCAGGTTGGGACAAGCCCCAGGGGCTTACTGGTTCAAAATGTCAGCTGCACATGGCCAATCTCAACACTGGGCCATCTGGCCTACCACCGTCTAGTCTGACTGGCAGCTGCCGTCAAAGGTTTCAGACAGAGAAGAGTCTCCCAGCTGGAGGTGCCAGGGACTGAACCTAGGACCTTTTGCATACAAAGCAGAGGCCGTATGACCAAGCTGTCATCCCCTATTGGTGTTAAACTGACTACACGGGTATGGGATCAGAACTCAGGGGTGGAATTCTGTTTTCGTACATTATATGACTTTTCAAGTGTATAGGTTTATTTGAATCAAGTACTGTTCCTCTGTGCAAGATGAAGGCTAGCAATTGTAACTGGTATACATTATAAGCAAGGGATCAGTCAGAACTGAGGGAAGGGAGATGTCCTCTCTCCCTTGTTGGCTCCAGATTTTCTTGCCCCTGGTCTCCTGAATGTTCCTTCCAGCCCAAATCCCCCCCCCCAATTGGGTGGCTCAAGTGGTTAAGACGCTGAACTGCAGGCTGTGGAAGGTCAGTAGTTCAGCAGTTCGAGACCCGAGTGTGCTGCATGACGGAGTGAGCTCCCGTCTCTAGTTCCAGCTCCTGCCAACCTAGCAGTTCGAAAGCAAGAAATTGCAAGTAGATAAATAGGTACCACTTTGGTGGGAAGGTAACAGCGTTCCGTGCGCCTTGGCCACATGACCACGGAAACATCTTCGGACAGCGCTGGCGCTTCGGCTTTGAAACGGAGATGAGCACCGCAACCTTAGAGTCAGACTCGACTGGCTTTCGAGCAAGGGAACCCTTACCTTTACCTTCCCTCTCCCCCTTCCATTCTTGCTGATAGTTACTTTCCCCTCCCCTCAACCACAGCCCAGTAGCCTCTTCCCTCCTGGCTCTGGTGCCTCCTTTAGCTCCACCTCCCAAGGGAATTAAATACTTTACAGGTGCTGATTACAGGATGGTCTTTCACGATGTCAGCCTAGCCTGTGCTGCCCGGGGTTGCCTCGGCAGTCCATAGCAATGGCCTAGATCTTGCAAGGTAGTCTACTATGATTTCTGCACTTTTACACTCAGGTGGGTTTTATTCCCCCTCCCCTTTAAGCTTAAGGTTTTTCAGCAAATCTGGGAGCTGCCCCTGGTTTACAGAAATGCCTGCCGCATGCCTGGGTGGCCCCACTGTGAGGCCGTTTTAATCCACAAAGTGGCTCACAGAGACC